AAAATTCATATTACAAGAACACATTGGTATTGAAGGAACTAGATACTGTTCCGAAATATCACTTACTCGAACCGTCCTGACTGCGTAGCTCAGTTGGAAGAGCATTGGGCTAGTATTCCAAAGGTCGTAGGTTCGAATCCCACCGTGGCCGGGCATATTTTTCAAGCTCGCCCGGTGTGGATATGCACTCAGAGTAACATCGCAAACATATTATTCACCTGAGTACACAACACCAACACAGAAAAAAATTCATATTACAAGAACACATTGGTATTGAAGGAACTAGATACTGTTCCGAAATATCACTTACTCGAACCGTCCTGACCGCGTAGCTCAATTGGAAGAGCATTGGGCTAGTATTCCAAAGGTCGTAGGTTCGAATCCCACCGTGGCCGGGCATATTTTTCAAGCTCGCCCGGTGTGGATATGCACTCAGAGTAACATCGCAAACATATTATTCACCTGAGTACACAACACCAACACAGAAAAAAAAAAATTCATATTACAAGAACACATTGGTATTGAAGGAACTAGATACTGTTCCGAAATATCACTTACTCGAACCGTCCTGACCGCGTAGCTCAGTTGGAAGAGCATTGGGCTAGTATTCCAAAGGTCGTAGGTTCGAATCCCACCGTGGCCGGGCATATTTTCAAGCTCGCCCGGTGTGGATATGCACTCAGAGTAACATCCAAACATATTATTCACCTGAGTACACAACACCAACACAGAAAAATTCATATTACTAGAACACATTGGTATTGAAGGAACTAGATACTGTTCCGAAATATCACTTACTCGAACCGTCCTGACCGCGTAGCTCAGTTGGAAGAGCATTGGGCTAGTATTCCAAAGGTCGTAGGTTCGAATCCCACCGTGGCCGGGCATATTTTTCAAGCTCGCCCGGTGTGGATATGCACTCAGAGTAACATCGCAAACATATTATTTACCTGAGTACACAACACCAACACAGAAAAAAAATTAATATACAGAGTGTCCCAAAATAATGTCTCCACTATGCTTTGTGGTATTTGCAACGTCAGTAACACTTACGCCTGATAGATTTTGAGGAAATCGAGAAATTGCTTGTTTGTCTTCTAGGGTTTGGGGTGGTGGCTTGATTGGTAATGGTGGTGGTGGTTTGATGGTCTGTGATGTTGATGGTAGGCTGGTAGTCTGTGTGTAGAAATAATATTATTAATTAAGTATAGAGATTTCTGTGCAGAGATAAGGTGAAGTCAATGGCGGTGTGACCACCATATTTCCTTGATAGTGTAACTGATTTAAACACGTAACGATTTGATTCGTAAGGAATGTGACAGATATAAATATTTCTCCTCATAATTGCTAAGTATATTCATATAATAAACAAAGTACTTCATGGTTTGTTTACCATTTGCGAGCTTCTGTGAAGAGTGCATTTGAAACTAGGTTTCAAAACGTTTCTTCCTCGAAATTTGTCAATTAAAATTGAAAACTTTTTTCTAGTTGTTTTACATGCAAAACGTTTAGTTTGGACCTCTAACGTACACTTGTATTTTAAAGGTTGCTGTATTACTCTCGATTTCAATTTGCTTTTCAAAACTGACTTCCAATGTTTAATTGTAAATTCGAAATGTTCGTTGTAAAGTTCCGAAGTTTGTTTCGAAGTTCGTTGCGATGATTTACGATAATCAAGTTTAGTAAGTTGTAATTGGCTAGTTAAGTGAACCAGCCAATCAAATCGCTTGCTATTGAATCATCGTAAATCATCGTAACGAACTTCGAAACAAACTTCGGAACTTTACAACGAACATTCCGAATTTACAAGTAAACATTGGAAGTCAGTTTTGAAAAGCAAATTGAAATCGAGAGTAATGCCCTGGCTGCATTTTGTATACCTGAAGTGCCATTATTGCCACAATAGAACTTGTCGGAAACATGCGAAGGTAAAACTTCGCATGCAAACCAATTCGGGATAAGGTTAAACACGGATGCGCATGGATAAAGTGCGGAGTCGGGGATAAAATGCGGACGGTGGGATAAAACGTGCTTAGCTAACATTCATACTCATGCAGGAAATTATTAATTTTGATGGTAGTGGTAGTGGGCTTACCTCTTTGGCTTTAGGAGCCTCTGTTATATATTTTTCATAAAGTCGTGGTACTGGTGTGTATGTGGTATCTAACTCTGTGTAGTTATTATCCTCAGAATGTGAGTTTTGAGATGCGGTTTCTCCATAGATGTCATCAATACAATCATGATCTTCCTCTGGTCGATCAGTGGGCTTTCCATCCTTGTGTTCACTTGAGAGGGTTTCATTTGAGGGAGTGTTGTTACCGCTTTGTTTACATCCCACCGGGCTGTATGGGAATTTCAATTTTATATTCTTCGTTTTCTTGTCAGTTTTGTTCTGTTTTGACTCTGGTTTCTGTCCTGCTTTCGACAATCGTTCAGGAGGTGTCTTTTAAAAATAGATAATAGAAAGCGTAAAATATTTAATTTCGATGTTTGAATGATATACTATAAGAAATTTTATTTTAGAACCAACATTTTAAACTACTTTTCCTATAATTTACAATATACAGAGTGTCCCAAAATAATGTCTCCACTATGCTTTGTGGTATTTGCAACGTCAGCAACACTTACGCCTGATAGGTTTTGAGGAAGTCGAGAAATTTCTTGTTTGTCTTCTTGGGTTTGGGGTGGTGGCTTGATTGGTAATGGTGGTGGTGGTTTGATGGTCTGTGATGTTGATGATAGGCTGGTAGTCTGTGTGTAGAAATAATATTATTAAGTAAGTATAGAGATTTCTGTGCAGAGATAAGGTGAAGCCAATGACGGTGTGACCACTATATTTCCTTGATAGTATAACTGATTTAAACACGTAACGATTTGATTCGTAAGGAATGTGACAGATGTAAATATCTCTCCTCATAATTGTTAAGTATATTCATATAATAAACAAAGTGCTTCATGGTTTGTTTACCATTTGCGAGCTTCTGTGAAGAGTGCATTTGAAACTAAGTAGGTTTCAAAACGTTTCTTCCTCGAAGTTTGTGCGAATCAATAATCAAAACTTTTTTGCTACTTGTTTTATATGCAAAACGTTCAGTTTGGACCTCTAAAATACATTTGTATTTTACAGGTTGCTCTATTAATGCCCTGCCTGCATTTTGTATACCTGTAGTGCCATTATTGCCACATATAGAACTTGTCGGAAACATGCGAAGGTAAAAATTATGCATGCCAACCAATTCGGGATAAGGTTAAACGCGGATGCGCATGGATAAAATGCGGAATATGGGATAAAATGCGGACGAGGGGATAAAACGTGCTTAGCTAGCATTCACACTCATGCAGGAAATTATTAATTTTGATGGTAGTGGTAGTAGGCTTACCTCTTTGGCTTTAGGAGCCTCTGTTATATATTTTTCATGAAGTTGTGGTACTGGTGTGTATGTGGCACCCAATTTTGTGCAGTTATTATCCTCAGAATGTGAGTTTTGAGATGCGGTTTCTTCATGGATGTCATCAATACAATCATGAACTTCCTCTGGTCGATCAGTGGGCTTTTCATCCTTGTGTCCACTTGAGAGGCTTTCATTTGAGGGAGTTTTATTACCGCTTTGTTTACATCCCACCGTCCTGTATGGGAATTTCAATTTTATATTCTTCGTTTTCTTGTCAGTTTTGTTCTGTTTTGACTCTGGTTTCTGTCCTGCTTTCGACAATCGTTCAGGAGGTGCCTTTTAAAAATAAATAATAGAAAGCGTAAAATATTTAATTTGGATGTTTGAATGATATCTATAAGAAATTTTATTTTAGAACCAACATTTTGAAATGGTGTAAGACAGACAACAGTATTGAACAACTTTCAAGTGAGGAACTTGATTGAAAGTAGTTAATTTGAATTATTTATAAATTTTATAAAAGAATCCTATTATTTTAACTAATTTGCATATTTGGACAAGTTAGAATTTTGTTGTTGCCACCAAATTATTCTTGAACGCAAGGGGTTATTTTGACGATATGGTAGTTACTTCATCCCATAAAAAATCTATAACTTCCACTAAAACTAACGTTTTAATGTCATCCAACATAGTAGGGGGCATTTTGGGGGACACCCTGTGCAGTATGTAAATATAGAGCGTTTGCACATGACGTCACAGTCGCCATGTTGGTGTTCCAATTCAAAAGAATTGTAATTAGACTCTTTTGTCTGGAACACCAACATAACCGCCATGGCTCTTGTTCAGTTGGTCCCTGGGGAATGAGTGCAAACGCTCTATAGACGGTAATCAACGTAACAATTTCCTCAAACGAACGGAAACAAAGAGTTACTAATTCACGCATATTTCAATTATTTGGTTAGTTAGTGTAGTTCATTGAACTATAAATAAACTGGAAGGCTAACTCGTGGGAGATTGAAGGCAGCGGATTTGAGTTTTTCTGAGTTATGAGCAGAAATACTCAACACTGAACGTTGTGCTGTATATGAAACTGAAGCTATTGAAAAACGCTATTTGGTGTAGAAATTTGAAGACTTTAGCTAAAAGGGAAATATTGACAAACTACAAAAATAACTGCAGATAATTTGCCATTTTGCAGTTTTTGTATTTTTTAAATATTTTTCTTTTCGCTGAAGTCTTGAAATTTCCACACCGAATAGCAATTTTCAATAGCTTCAATTTGTTATGCAGCCCAACGTTTGGGATCAAGTAGTTCTGCTCATAACTCAGAAAAACTATTTTGGCTTCATCAAATCATAGGTCATCATCGTAGCAGTTAGCCTTCCAGTTTATTTATAGTTCAATGGTGTAGTTGCGTTGTTGGTTGGTTGAAGGGTTATGGGCATGAAAAATGCTATCCTATTTTTAAGATTTTTCTGATATTATGTAGAAAACAGCTTTTTGAAATCATGCTTTATAGTTTTTGAAATAATCGTAAATCAGTGATCTGTCCACCATCTTGGATTGTTGTGGATATGTATGCATTACGTCACAACCAATGGTTGTTGTCTACAAAATTGTCACTATTCCAAATAGCAATTTGACTGTCAACATTTTAAACATCTACTAATTTGATTGAAAATTGGATGAGAAATCAGCAAACGTTTGTCTTTGCCGGGCAGACTAAACTAAATTCGTAATTAGCCCATTTTATAATTTATTCATGGTACATCACTTAAACCGCTGGCGGAGGTATGCATGCAGTCTCCGAGTGCCCTCGTGTTACCTTTTGTTTTGCATTTTCTTGTTCACTGGGCGGAGTATTTGGTGGCCTTTCGAACGAGGACAATTTTTCAGGCTTTTCACATTCAACACGTTGCAGATGTTCGCGGGCACGTTGCACGACTTCCATTGAAGCTTCTTCAATAAATACCATTTCCTCCATTCTCTTCTTTACCGCGTCCATATGTTCGTAGACGTCCAAGTTGTCAAAAGCTTCAAGATTTGTGCGGTTAAATTGTTTGTCTAAGGTTTTGACAACTCTTTGATAGGTTTCATCACCCTTTAGAAATCCCTCAGCCACTGTTATTGTGATGTCCAGTGTCGTTGGAACATTCAGGCATAGCTTAAAATGGTAGAATGATTAAAATTTGGTTAATAATTTGGTTCTAGTAATCCAGGTTGAAGTTGTTCTCATAATCTTACTATATTCCTGCCAAGATCGTTGATTTCAAGTCACTTTTCAACGCGCTGGTCCCAAGTTCGTTGCGAACTTGCCAATTACGTTTCCGAGTTCGAAAATTGGGCGCAGACTTCGCAACAAAGTCTCCAAGTACATTTTATGTTTGAACTTTGTTTGTAAACAAATGTTCATACTCAATAATAATAACCAGTTCAATAAAATACAATTGTTAATTTCAACTTGAACTGATGAACATTTGTTTACAATAGTTCAAACATTGAAAATTACTTGCGAACTTTGTTGTCGTAATATATCTTTCCCCTTTTAAGTGAAAATTTGATCTAGACAAGTCTGGACAAAATCATCACAGCTTGAAAGAGCATCACAAAATTAGTAATATTCCGAAGTTTCGTTGCGAAATGTTGTAAAATGCGGATAATATAGCCTTGCGAAGTTTGCCGTTTTTCAGTCGTTTTGCATTACAAACGAGAAATTGATAATCAGATGATCAAACTGATTATCAATTTCCCATTTGTAATACAAAATGACTGAAAAACGGCAAACTTCGCAAGGCTATATATTATCCGCATTTTACAACATTTCGCAACGAAACTTCGGAGTATTACTAATTTTGTGATGCTCTTTCGCGCTGTGATGAAATTTTTGGCCAGGCATATCTAGATCAAAATTTCACGTAAAAGGGGAAAGTCTATTGGCAAGTTTGCAACGAACTTGGGAACCGCGAGTTGAAAAGTGACTTGAAATCGACAATAAGTGTTGGAAAAATATGTGAACACATTCTCCCATATGGTTGATAAAAAATAGTTGACCATTGTCTTTCAAATTTTGCCATGATCCTGCCAAGAATTCACAAAGGTCTATATCAATCATTGTACCACAATCTTGTTACAATCTCACCGTGACCTTTCAAGAAATAGCCCTTAATTAAAGTGCTTATGAAACGAAATTTTTGCCTCGATTTTTAATGTTTTATTAAAAGGTGCTGCTTAAATGATGACGAATGACGTTTACAGTTTGTTCGTATCTCATCTCATTCCCAAGTTATCACACTTTCTATATTTTGAGTTGTGACGTCACTAGTTTGACTCAAAATAGTGGCAATAACAACAAACTCTGATATCTTGATGTTCATTTAACAAAATTCAATGAAACTTGGCACACTTAGTGGGTGCAACGAAGTGAACAATTTGGCTTGTTTATATTGTTGTTATGGCAACACACTCGTCCCCAGTCCCTTCTCTTCCAATTTCTATATGATCCATTTCCAACGAAATAAATAGTAATTTCTGCAATTGTCGCTTATTATTATAACACGTGTAGGTATTGTGATCAGTTTAAACCGTTATAACATGCAAACATCCTCTGCAAAAGGTCTACAGGAGGAAATTTGTGAAAAGGAAGAGACGAGACTGGGGACTAGTGTGTTGCAATAACAACCACATGACCTGCCAAAAATATTCATATGGGTGTACCCACTAAGTTTACCGAGTTTCATTGAATTTTATTAAATACTCACTAAGATAATGATATCAGACTTTCTTGTTATTGCCATTATCTCAAGTCAAACTAGTGACGTCACAACTCAAAATTTAGAAAGTGCAATAACTTGAGAATGAGATGTGAAGAAACTGTAAACGTCATTCTTCATCGCTCTAGCAGTACTTTTTAGCGCAACAATAAAAAATGAAGTGAAAATTTCGTTTCATAAGCACTTCAAGTTAGTTCAGTGTCAACAAAATGCTAAATATACACCCACTTTTTCTTCCATGTTGGAACACACAGTTGTAACAATTACGTCGCTTTCTTGTATTTCTTCAATGGCTGTCGTTTGACCCAAATCTGACAAATATGTCGAAGACGTCGAAGGCTTTCCAGGTACTGAACGCATTTGAATTTCCGCCGTTTTATCTGAAAAGCGAACCTTAGGCGGGAGTCCGAATTGTTTCTGAATCTCAGCCAAATTGTAGGTATTTGAGTCCAACAATGGCACAAATACGGCAGTGGAATAAAATAGAATCGACACATCTTGTGCAGTTGTGAGGTTTTTACATCGTATCACCGAGCTTTTGCTGTCGATTTTTTTAATCTGTAGGATATCGTTCATTTTTAAAGTGTCTAACGAATTATTATTGCAAGTTGAGCCAACTTCCATAACTCGAACGTATTTGATTTTCTGGTATGTTGTAGACAATTGATAAGCGGTCACTTTCGTGTCCCTACAGTCCATAGGTATCACCTCAGCTTTAAGGGGACAGCTTGTAGGAACCACCACTGCATTACTATTAGGAACCTGGCATACTATTTTACTGGTCGTACGCAATGTATGTAGAGTCAGAACTTGGCTTCTACCGAAAGTCGTCCGTTCAGTATCACCACAATAACCGACTACGACTAACACAACTTGGGGTAGCTCATACCGTTTGACAAAATTGGCTAAGCTAAACTCTTGGTCACTCCAAACAAGTGATTGGGCAAGCCTATACTCTTGAAATACTGACATCTTGTAATTGTAGTTCTAATAGCGATTTAAACAAGATCTTGGTGTTCCAGATATTTTAATAGTTCAGTGTAGATTTTCTTTGGTCTTCAATTGTGAATTACCGATGTATTTCTCTGAAACACTTCTGTGCATGGGTCCACAATTACTAATAAATTAATTAATAAATTAATAAGTCAATCCTTTAACCAATGAATGAATGAATGAATGAATAAGTAATAAATTAATTAGTTAATTAATTAATCAATTTATTATATTCATTTTGAGCTCAATGGCATTTCTGTCGATCTGATCGGTCAAGAATAGTGCGATTTATTCTCAAGATTTAATCAGCAACTTCAGCTTGTTCGCTTGTTGCTATGCTACGGTATTTGGGGTGTTATTTGCAAACAATATACCATTTCCGGTTAACAAATATGTTTAGATTTGAAAATTTTACTTCGTGGCTTTCATTCCAGACGATTATTAATGAATCAATTAATAAACTAATCGGTCAATTAATCAAGTAGTTAACAAATCAACTCAGTTACTTAATCAAGCAATGATGTAATCAGAAGTATAGATATTGGCCATCACGACACTTTTTAAAGGGGAACTCCAGCCCTAAAACAAGCTGGGTTTAAATAAAAGAACTTATGTTTATTAGAAAGTTCCCAAATTACCTCGGTCCAACTATGTAAGGATAAGGACAAATTGCTTGCCAAAGTTCAAGATTTTTTCAAATTTGGCAGCCATTTTGGTATTTTCCATGCAGACGCGTATTTGTCAGCGCCCTCACTTTTTGACGTCATTGCGTACTTCTGAGGTGTCATTGATAGCGCAAGCTATAGTTTTGTATGGCAATATTAACCGTTCTTATTCGTCAAAACAAATTTTGTAGGGCGAGTTACCACCGTCGAAGTCAAAAGGTGTCAGATTTAACATTACTGGGTCTTTGACAGTGGATAAATTATATCATGGTCGCTAGCATCAAACGCACGCAAAGCCGTAGCATGTTGGTCGAATATCGACTCAGTATCGGTAATCTGCAGGTCATTGTACCGGATACTGTTGACTGGTATATCGCTTTAATTTACGTAAATCTAATGAAATCGTTCAACCTGCGAATTCAAGTATAGCCGGTTAGAAGCATCCGGCATCACTTTATATGCGACTATTTTGCAAGCAATCTCGATTTAATACCTATATGACTCAGTAATGTTAAAAATGAAATCTCCTGACTTGGATGATGGTAAACAGCTCTATAAAATTTGTTTTGAACAACAACAACAACAACAACAACAACAACAACAACAACAACAACAACAACAACAACAACAACAATAGTTTATTAACACTCAAAAAGATACAAATACATTCTGTTATAGTTAAAAAATTACAAATGAGAGTGAAGGCCACCTGTGATAACCATCAGGGCTAATCGAGACAGGTGGCCTTTAAAGAGACACAAGAAAAACTATGATTAGGAGAGTTAAGGCAGTAATCAATATAGAAACACTTAATCTGCTTAATTACACAGACAACAAAAACATGAAGAAAACAAAAAGAGCTCAAATATTTTGAATAATATTAAGGGGAAAAAAGGTAAAAATATACAGGGTATTTCGTGATGTGATTTAGTAGGCACCAATCAGCTGTTCTTTTAACTTATGTTTGAAAGTAAATTTAGAAAGAGTTTTAAGAGACTCGTCAATTTCATTCCAAATCTGAGTTCCTCTAAATCTGATTCTAAATTTACCATAATTTGTGCGAGCTGGAGGAAGAGAGTAGGTTGATCTTGAAGCAAGTCGAGTATTATAATTATGCTGATTTTGTATTAGGCTAAAGAAGTCATC